CATGCGACACAAGCAGGGTACTGTACAGGGTAGAGTGGTAAGAGAGTGGCGACGTCTGAAGTAGGCAGAGCTGATCTTGATGAAGTCCATGAAGCCGCCGATGACGTCCACGATGAGAAGTCCGGAATGCCGTCGAGAAAGAGTCGCAGCGTCGACGAGCTGAAGTAGCAAAACTGATGTGGATGGAGTACTGAGAAGTCAAAGACGTGGGAAGGTAAGTCAGAGTCAATCGTCGTATCGAGCGGGACGACGACGAGTGCGCTGTGCACGCTGAGAAGCATCCGGCTGTTGCTGAAGGTCTGCCTCAGATGGAGCAGGCTCAACTTCAGCGGTCTCCTCAGCCGGAGGAGAAGGAGGAGGGTCAGTGGGCTGAGGAGGAGCAGTGAACCCAGCACGACGAGCACGGTCATAGGCACGCACCAACATGCGAGCGTGCTGCAAGTGCTCGAGGGGCTCCCAGGTAGCCTCCTCATCAGGGTAACCCTTCCAACGTACGAGATACTCGACGTGGGGAGCGTTGTCGTCGGTGACTCGGCGACCAATGATGTCTGAAACGAGGAACTCCTCGTGGCCGTCCACCATGATGGGTGGAGGGCGCTCGTATGGTCGTTCAGCGAAACGCTCAGACGGTCTGCGGTAAGGACGCAGTAACGAGACGTGRTAGACATCATGCACACGAGCCTGGCGTAGGTAGTCGGGCAGCTTCACACGAAAGCTGACCGGGCTAGATGTCGTATCAGAACCGACGGCCTGGAGGATGCGGCATGGGTCAAAGAAGCGACGTCGAAACTTGCAAAGCGTGTCCGCTTCGAGCTGTAAGTGGCGGGCGTCGATAAGCACATCATCACCGACCTTGAATGGGTGATCCATCTTCGATCGGTTCGCACGTGCTGCCATGCGAGTCTGGGAAGCGGCTATGTGCTCATGTGCGGTCTTCATAATCGACGTCATGTGTGCAACCCAATCATCCAGCGCGGGACAACTTGTGTCGGGGTGCATCTAGGACGGTCGAAGGAAGTCCGCGGGAACACGCGGGTGATAGCCGAGGTCGCAATAGTAAGGCGACATCCCCGTGGCTGGCGAGACGGCGTGGTTGTAGGGTATCTCCGCGTGGGCAAGATGGAGATCCCACTGCTGGTCGTCACGAACAATCTTTCGGAGAATATCCCCGAGAATCCTGTTCGTGATCTCGGTCTGACCATCAGTCTGAGGATGGTAAGACGAGGAGAAGCGGAGCTGAGTGCCGTACACCTCGTGGAGCCGTCGCCAGAATCGGCTGGTAAAGCGCGGGTCACGGTCAGATATGATGCTCAGAGGTAAACCGTGGTCACGCACGACTCGGTCAAATACGATGTCGGCGACCTCACGTGCACTGATGGCATAGCGGYACGGAACAAAGYGTGCACGCTTCGTGAARCGGTYGACGACGACCAGGATAGCATCATGACCGCGGGGGGTCGGAGGTCGAAGAGGACCGATAAAGTCCATCGAGATGGACTGCCAACGACCCTCAGGGATAGGAAGAGGCTGGAGCAAACCATAAGGTAGGTGGTTCGCACTGTTCACCTCCTGACAGGTGGGACACTCTGCGACGTAGTCCTTCACAAAGTCCTTGCGCTTCGGCCAGACGTACAGGCGGCTCACACGAGCCAACGTCTTGTGGAAGCCCATATGACCGGCAGCTGCCTGGTCATGGAACTCTGCTACTACTCGGACACGTAACTGTCCAGTGGAGGGAACACAAATACGGGGCTCTCTGGTGCCCTGTGAACCGTGCCAGTACACAAGACCGTTGTCCCCGAGAGAGTAGTTCGGGACGGTCTTGCCACTCCGAAGGGTCGCGTGGATGTCGCGATAGTCGGGGCAGTGGCGGTACTGAGTGCGAAACTCGTCGATCACCGAGTGGTGGACGGTGCTGACCGAGATGGAAGAGAGCTGGATGTGCTCCTGGTCGTGGTCAGGGCGCCGGGATAGGGCATCGGCGACCCGATTAGTCTCACCCTTGATGTGCTCAGTGGTGAAACTAAACTCGGATTGGTCGCGCCACCAGCGAGCCTGTCGAGGAGTGAGCTTCGACTTTGTCAGAAAAGCCTGGACAACAGAGTTGTCCGTGCGCACCGTGAATGGTGCCCCGTGCAGGTAGTGACGCCAATGCCGAGCGGCATAAACTACTGCGAGAACCTCACGTTCATCAGCAGTGTAGTTTATCTCGGCGGGCAGGAGCTGACGGGAGTAGAAGGCTATCGGACAATCACCTGAGCGAGACT